GCCCTCTACGCGGCTCGGCTCGGGGGAGCGATCCCGGGCTCGGCCCGCAAACTCCACATCCCAGCACCTCCGCTGCGCGCCTTGGGAGGGGAGGCTACGCCATGCGTGTTTTGGAAAAATGGGGCGCCTGCTTGAAGAGGCGTCCAGATTCCGGTTTTTCCCAGCCAACTCAGGGAGCGGGGGATGGTTTGTGGAGAACCAACCCCTAAAGTCAACAGATTTTTGATCTCCCAGTTCCAGTGTCCACATGTGTTCTTTGTGGGTGGTATTTGAGACTCATGGCAAGTGTTTGGTGATCTTTGTTTGTTGGAAGGAGCCTGGCCGCACTTATCAAACTTTGTGGCTGTTTGATTGGACCTTTGTTCTTTGGATCTTCATTCTTTGGGCTTTAACTTTTTGGGAAGCAGTGGATTTGCCACCCACAAAAAGTGAAGAACTGCTTGCAGAGGGGTCAACAGCAACCAAGCAAAGATCATGTTTCGAAGCTGTCCTTGCTTACGCACTCCTCCAGAACGGTGTGCCTTTGGGTTCCCTTTCCAATCATCGAAACAGAGGTGCCATATTTCGAGACAGAATTTAGTTTTCTCACTTCCTAAGTCCCTGGACTTTATACTTTTTGGAATGACCATCGTAGTGGCAACAAGCAGTTTCAACTTTGTTTGGGCCATGCGCTGAGGAAGTGAGCTTCAGTTGTGTGCCCAGATGAACTAATTCTTTTGCCAGCCGTTCGGGGCTCCGCCGAGGACCGATCCGCAAGTGGACTTCAGGCGAAGGCGAAACAGGGTGGGGGTTTGTGTGGATAGTCCCCTGCAAACCAACACGGAGCCCCCTATTAGCACAGGTCTCCCTAACAAGAAATTGCTTCGGAAGTCCCGAATCCGAGAACACTAGAACAGCCAATGATAAACCAATTCTAAAGTAGGCATTTTCCTGCCCGTACTCAAATCCAGCCCTTCAGAGCCAGGGCGCCGCTACTAATAAAAGTTGTTTTGTTTGGCAGGGATTTTGTTAGGGGTTAGGCTTAACACGGAACCCAGAAAAAAGGGAGACGGCCTCCGCCTCGCTCTCGGAGGAGTTCTCTGAGTTTTTGGCTGGAAGGTCTTCGCCTTCCCCCGCGCGTCGTCCTCCAACAATTTGTCTCCAAGCCTTCCTCGCCACAGGCAAGGGTCTTGAGGACGCTGGCGCCCATGCAGATCGTGCCTCCTGGCTCAGAGAGAGCTCTTCCCAGGCGGTGTCGGCAGCCATGGCCTTGCACCTGCCGCATAAGACCTGCGGGGCAGGGCAGCAAGTTGGGTGAAAACACGCAAAGCAGACCCTCTGTGGGATAGAGGAGCGGCCGCGGCCAGTAGACTCACGCTACCGGAGCCTGCCACGTAAGGGCTGCGGGACAGGGAGCGAGCAGAAGAGACTGACGCGCGCGTGGACATACATCGTCAACACCCCATCGTGCGAACCAAACACCATTTTTGGCCCAAGGAATGGGCAAACTAGCATATAAGTTTCTTCCGTTTGCGTGAGCGATTCCATTCGAGCGTGAGCAGCGCAAGAGTCTTCGCGCCGGGCAGCGTGACGCCGAGGTGGGGGGGGCGCCGTTCCAAAAAACAATCGACAGCCCGGGCCACCCCGCCAACTGAAGCCCGCAGACGCCAGACCCTGAACACGTACGTCGGACATTGGAGGGTGTCGGCTGAGGCGAGTAATGAGCTCACGCCCTGCGAACGCCCAGGGGCGGTGGCGGCACAACCTTGCGCAGGCGCGCAGCTCCAGCAGAGCAGCAGTAGCGCGTCCGTGGACGTGCTCGCTGCACGCCTGGCCAAAAACAGGCAAAGGCGCAGGCAAAGAAGCGAAAGGAAGCCGACTGCGCGAAGCGCCACCTCCAAACATATGGACTTGAGGGTTCCATTATGTTACATTGAGTTTGCAGGGGGGTGAGTAGGCAGTCGATAGAACAGTAGATTCCCCAAATGAGCAGCGTTTTTTCTCAGATGATGAATTTTAGCTTCGTGGGGAACTCCCAAAAGGTCCGCGAAGGCACTTGTGTGATACATTGTATGCCGCGAAGCCCCGCGAAGCCAATTCGCGAAGCCCGGCACCATTCACACAGGCGAAGCCACTTTGCGAAGCCACTGCGTGGTTGGAGTGTGTTATGTGCGATCATGGCAAGTGTGTTGTGTGCTTTCATGGCAGTAGCATGCCAAAGGTTGATGTTTAGAGTCAGACGGCTACGACAAGACTACAGGAAGATGACAGGAAGACGGCCGGAAGAGCACGGGCCGGTTGCGCGAGAAACGATGGAACGTTTTCGCGAAGCCTCCGCGAAGCCACCGCGGTCCAACTTCTACGCTCCGCCCCTCTGGGCCCAGCCGTATCCCCTAGTCCTGAAGCTTGTTTTTTACGGCCTTCATCGCCCCCTTTAGCATGGACTTAGCATGATTCAACTGCATGAGAGCAGAGATGTTTGTGGAACAAGCATCCGCGAAGCCCGGCGAAGCGACTCCGCAAAGCCACAGTCTTGCCGCGAAGCCTCGCGAAGCCAACCTTTCCACGAAATCTGGCCCCGCAAAGCCCCCCGCCCGCGTAGCCTCCCCAGCAGTGTATACGCCCTGAACCTCTAAAAAAACAATGCTCAAGTAGTACGAGCCAACGGTAGATTGGGTTTTCCGTGCCCACTTGCTAAATGTAAGGGCCTTTGATGCCTTGGGCCAGGTACTCCTCAATTCGTAGCTTGTGAGGGTTCGAGTCTCTGATTCTGCATGAAAGCCGAAGCAGAGCGCATCCAGGGTTTGTTCCAACCGAAGGCACAGCCCGCTCACCTCGAGTCTATTTGGGGAACCCCCTGCCACTCCAAGCCCCAGCCCAACAAATCACAAGCTGGCTTCGGTTGATACGTTGACATGTGCCATGAAACTCCTAAGAGGGGACAGTGACCCTCACAAAAACAGGTTCCACCAGAGAACAATCATGCGCCTAGCATCCGAAAGCAACCCATTGGAAACCAATGCGGGTCACCCAACTAAGGAATCCTTACCTTCCTCTAAAAATGGTGGTTTTGTTGGTTTCAACCTATTCTGCAGGATGTCCAAACCAAAGAAATTGCCCAAGCTGACTTCAGCCCATGTCTTTCAAGTTTACTCAAGCGGGAGCCGGACGGGAATCGGTGCCCTGTGCACGTTGCCATGGAACCCACGATAGGGCCCCTTTCAAAGAGAATAGTCTCTACGAGCCCGAAACATTTGGTTCCATGGCAACGTGGGTCAGAGATGAACCTAACGTTTGTCCCACCTACTGTTGATGGTTGCGAAATCCATGTGTCACCGTTCAGAAACCCGGGTTTCTGATTCGATTCCCCTGTTGATAGCAGCAAGTGTTCTGGTTTCATTTCGCGGTGCGAACGGATGTCGCAACCAGCAACCAACACTAGGGCGGTTCTATGCAACATATAAGGGGTACAGACTGCTTTGCAAGATTCGCGTTTTTCTTGGGGCGTAATGTTGACCCCTGTTTATGAATAGGGGGGGTGTCCCTGGTTTTTGTGGGGAGTCATCTCTTTTGGAGGGGGACACCCCCATATGAATAAACAGGAATCAACATTATGGGATTGGGAGGCACTGGATTTCCATTTCTAGCACTCCCTGTGGGTTGTGGCATAGAAGGATCCATACCTCCAACCCCCCATCCTCGCGGCTGAGAAAATCGGAAGGCGAGTGTGGTGTCTCAGCTGCTGGCTGGGCTTACTGAGCCCCGGCGTCTGCCCGGCTGCGGCCGCACCGGGAACTTCTTGGGGCTGATGCAGAGCCTCCGAAGCGGCCCGGGCGGCAACCGTCCCGTCCCCTTTGGTGCCCCAGTACTGCCCTTCTTAAACCGTTTTTGGTTGGGAGGGTTCCCCTACCAAAATAGACTACAGGAAAAAGGGCACTCTTATTCGAACCTCTCTCCTGGAGGACCTAGAAAAGCTATGCTTTTCTGCTACCTTCAGTGGCAAAAGGACAATTCAGGGGCGGAGACGTGGGTGATTTGTTTGCTATTTTCAGGCGGAGACAAAGCGATTCAGAGGCTTTCACTGCTCGTTTTCTTGTGGATAAACATTGGCGCCCGTCTACTGGGACCATTCCTTTGAAGGGTGTAGTTGCAAGAAAGTGGGCGACTTTGACAACGGGAACGCAATGAGGCCAGCCCTACCTTCGTTCCTGAAAAGCCGCCATGCTCAGAACTTAGAAGGTTCTTGCCCTTCTTGTGGGGAGCGCCCTTCCTTTTTCCCCTTCACTAAAGAGCAACAGGAGCCGTCGATTACCTTCAGGTGCACTTGATTTCGGGTCTTACCCTTTTGTAATCAAGTACCCTGGGTCGAGTGCAAGTCTTCAACGAGAAGAAAACAACTATATATGGCTCTAGGCATGTCATTCGGAGCTCACCGCGAGCTCACCCATGACAAGCATATTGCGTTGGGATTCCCTTGTTTTCTATTTGGGAATTAGAGTAGGTCACATGTATGGTTGGAAGGTGCCTGTATTAAGGGTACGCATAGCAGGAAGTTGTATGCTGGGTGCGGCAAAACAACCAATTGGTAACTTACGAGAGCAACCGCAAGGGGATTGGCTTGTTTGTTGTCCCTCAGCCCCCAATGGCAAGAAACAATATACTTGCTTGTTTTTAGACGATTTGAAGCAGAGAAAGTTGGTCAGGGGTCGGGGAACGTCATGCTAGGGTATGGGTCCGTCAGCGTCCTGAGGCTACGAGAACGCATTGAATTTGGCAATCCCTTTCTGCGGCAGCGCACCCCGGGCCGAGATCGATGGAGTCTTGACAGCCATCAGACCTGAGCCTGAAGAGTTGAAATGGAGGTAGGGAATAGAACCCGAAGATGTGGTCTTGGGTAGACTCCTCCCAAACATTGAGAACCAGGTCTTGGTTGTGGTGGGCCATTTCGCCTTTTGTTTTTGAGAGGCCTCGCTTGTCCAGGACTGAGAATCCGATGCATGCCCCAATGAGAGCCCACGGGTGTGTGGCCTTTTGAGGTAGCAAGCTTTCAGGGGAACTAAAGGGATCACCGATGCCATTTGTTTGGTCCCTATCTTTACACATGCTCACATGTATTTGCAAATCGGGTTGCGTATGTCGGGGTACACAAGGAGCGCAACAGGTGACCCGGTTTTGCTTTGATCTTTGGCGTGGCAACGCGTCCAAGAGCCCAGGCGCGTGCCCTGGATAGGGCACATGCCAGGCGCACAAAAGCACCAGGAGTACAGCGCTATTGTAGATGCATATGCCAAGGAACGATCAGATGCGGGACACTTGATGTTTTGCACGGGTTGTCTGGGGGGAGGAAGGCCTGGCGCAGACCTTGCGCATGCTTTCTTCCGAGGAATGTGCCACTACACGCTTGCGAAGGAAACATTGCTGAAGGGCAGCTTGTGTTCAGCTGCTGGGCTTGAATGAGAAGACTATATCTGTTCTTAAACAGAAACCCCGCTGTGCTACTGCTTGTTTGGAGGAACTCATTTGTAAGAAGGGTGTTTCTCATTTTGTTCGGAACTGTTGAAGGAATTCATGTGTACTGTAAGACTTGTGTTTCTCATGTTGTTCGGATCTGTTGAAGGAATTCATGTGTCAGAAGAGTGTTTCTCATTTTTTGGGGGAACTTTTGAAGGAATTCATGTGTAAGAAGTGTGTTTCTCATTTTTGCGGAACTTTTGAAGGGATTCATGTGTAAGAAGGGTGTTTCTCATTTTGTTTCGCAGCTTTTGAAGAAATTCATGTGTAAGAAGGGTGTTTCTCATTTTGTTTCGGAACTTTTGAAGGAATTCATGTGTAGGAAGTGTGTTTCTCATGTTGTTCGGATCTTTGGAAGGAATTCATGTGTCTGAAGGGTGTTTCTCAATTGTTGGGGAACTTTTGAAGGAATTCAGGTGCAGGAAGGGTGTTTCTCATTTTGTTTCGGAACTTTTGAAGGAGTTCATGTGTAAGAAGGGTGTTTCTCATTTTGTTTCGGAACTTTTGAAGGAATTTATGTGTCAGAAGGGTGTTTCTCATTTTTCCCGGAACTTTTGAAGGAATTCATGTGTAAGAAGTGTGTTTGTCATTTTTGGGGGAATTTTTGAAGGAATTCATGTGTAAGAAGTGTGGACTCATGTGTTTCGTTTTTTTTTAGGAATACTGTGTAAGAAGGGTGTTACTCAGCGATACCTCAGCGACCACAGGGGTGAAAGAGCACCACAGGAGGGGTCAGTTTCTTCGCTTTCCACACACAAAAGCACAATCCAGAAGAGTCCTCAATCTTGATGAAGCATGATGGCCACTTTGGGCCGTTGTGACACCAATATTTTTTTCGCTGCAAAGTGAGAAAGTCGTCAGGGGAATGACTCACAGGTGATTGCTCACAGCCACCCCCCCCCCAAAAAAACTGACCCATTTTGGTCTTTGCGTATGGATGTCTACGGCCCCCACGTGTAAACCACTTCCCAAGTCCTGAAGTTCAGAAGGCAAAGCACAACCTACGCGAAACACACGGGAAGGACAAAGTTGAGCTTGGTTGTGGTGGCTCTGCTGGGGCCTCCTCAAAACTATTCATTCCTGTTGGGTTGGCCAAACATGCGTATGTGTCCAAATATGACCCCCCCCAAAATGTGAGTGTGTGTGTGTGTTTGTGTTTTTTCTCGGTTGGTGTCCCTTACCAGGATGAAATGGAATCCAAATATGAGGTAGAGTCTGAAGATCGTGTTTTTTGTGCGCTCTCTTTGTGTGATCCTTAGAGCTGAGAGCTGAGGCGCTGAATGGTGAGACCAGGTGCCTCAGCACGAGATAGAGCCCAGCGGTCTTTCGAACAGCTTGCGGATGTGGAAAAACCAGGCTAAAAAGGTGCGTTCACCTCGAGATACAGTCCTCAAATGACCCTTGGCACGGGTCAATTGAAGTTGCGACGATTTATGCAAGGTCTTCAGAGTCCCGCTTCTAGAAGACACTTGTCTGGGGGTAACTCCCCATTCTTTCCAGGGATCCTTCTTTCTAGAAAGCCACCACAAACCCTGGGGAAATGGCTGGTTTTTGAAAAGAACGATGGCTGAAAGGATGGAAAGGGAATCTGGTGTCTTCCTATCCGCTCAGGTCCCGAGTGCGCGGTACGATTTCCATAGTTATGAACTGCCGTGGCATGCAGCATTCGGCGGCCATGAGCGCTGTCGCGGAGACTTGGCAGCATGACTTCCCTGCAGACACCTTGGGATTCTCTTTGGTCACTACTGTGGGCGCACAAAATCCTGCACCATTTGAAGCCATGGGAAACCGTTGTTAGTTGGTATTTACAGGGGAATCATGATGCCAAGGTTTCTTAGGTGGTGCGAAACGGATTTAGTCCGCAGTATTTCACATTTTACGGTTTACCTAGACTCTCCATGACCCTTACAAATGGGGTCATTGCCGAAAATTAGGGGGTCATGACCCTTTTTTCTAGGGGTCATGGAGGCTCTAGGTATATATGGACCGGCATCGAAGAATGGTTATTTTGGGTTGGGTGCAAGAGGTGTCGGCGTGGAGCCAACAGGTTCCCCAAAGGTTTTCTGCGTCAAATCGCAGGAGTGTGGATGGCTAGGCCCCCCAGTAGTGCCCTTTTACTCTTCTTTTTTGGGGGGGGAGGGTTCCCCTACTAAAATAGACAACAGAAAACAGGGCACCCTCATTCTAGCCTCTCGAGGACCTAGGTAGTTTGAGGGATTCAGGTGACGGTGTTTCACGGGTAGTTTGAGGGATCCTGGTTTTTCTCTGTGCGAGTTTGCAGGGGACTGAATCATTCCTAGTCCCAATTTTCTCTGTTTTGAGAGGCCGAAATTCAGCACATGATTCCACCAATTTCTGTGATACAAAGTAGTCATAGGCATGGGAATCACGAAGAAAACCGTGCTTCAGCACCAGATTCAGTCCGTTGGGTTCTTGTAATCATTCCTCTAGCGGTAGTGCCTTCCCTTGTTGCAATCATGTCCCACGGATGTTCTTCGATGCTCTTGGCATGTTCTTGGACAATTGTTTTTCAGTTCTGCTCATGTCTAGGAGGCTGCAGCAACAATCTATGCTGTCTGCCGCCATTGCAGCTGAAAACTGGCAGCTCCTTCATTCAAACGCCTGGAAGCTACCATTTGAGGCCAGCCCATGTACCAACCTGCATCAACCTGCACATAATCCAGCTAGGCTATAGGTCCCCCAGTGGTTCCCCTACTAAAATAGACTACAGAAAAAAGTGGGTGCTCTTATTCGAACCTCTATTGCTTTTTGCCGCCATTGCAGGGTGTGGGAAATGACCAGCTTGAGGCCTGGGGCAAAAGCGCAAAAGCTTCGCGGCCAGGACCTCCGCGAGACAAACCTGCACGGCGCGCCGGTGCTGGGACGAGCAGGAGGGACCGAGCCGTTTTTGGTTGGCCTGCAGCAAGATGGGCCGAAGGGAACATGTAAAGGCTTCTCAACTCTCAAGATTGCTTGGCGTTTGGTGGTTTCCCTTGAAGCGCCATTTAGAGGCTAAATTTGCGAGTGCCACTTCAATGCCCAGGCAAAGAATTGTAAAGTTGTGCCTTGTTCGGTCAGTTTGGTTGACGATGGGTGACGCCAGCTTTCTTGGGGTTGGGAATGTTCAAAGTCAGACACTGGGGTTGTTTCCCCTTAATCAACCACTTGCAGGGTGACTTTGATTCGTAAAATATGGTGGCCGGGCCAGATCACGCCGTGGCTTACTCGCAGAGACGGTTTTTCGTTGAGCACTGCTGGTGGCTTGCCAGGCGTCACCATCCACAGCTATGCTGCAGATGCCGAGCCTGGTGTGGTGGCGTTGGAAAATACCACCGATGTGGACGAGCTGTTTGCAGCTTGGCGAAAACCAGGTCCAAGTAGTCTAGGTCGCCCAGTAGTGCAATTTACCATTTTTTGGGGAGGGTTCCCCCACTAAAATAGACTACAGAATCGAAGCATATCCTTATTCTAAGCTCTCTACTGGAAGACCTAGTCTAGCTTTGCGCATTTTCATGGTGAAAAGATGTGCCACAGATCCCAAATCATAAGGTATGGAGGATCATGTGCGCTAAACGGGGTTCGTGAAAAAGATGGGCGGGGTTTTCCCATAGGAAGAATCTGATTCATCCACCTTTGATCCGAGGTGGATACCCTTTGCAAGCAAGGGAACTGGGAAACCTACCGTGTTCCGTAATTTCCTTTGGTTTTGTGTCAGCATAGGGGTCCCTCCCCGAACAGTTTCGATCGGGTGCGCTGTGGGCCTACTTCAAAATCCGAGAAGGGCTCCGCCATTTTGAGAAATGGACGTGGGTCAAAACCAGTGGGATCCCATTATGGGGTGAATTCACCACCCATTTTAGAACCTATTTTAGTGTTTGGATTGGGATGTTCACTGGGGGTACGATTTGGATTTTGACCTATGGCCAAATGAATCAAATTCCATCAAAGGAGCCGGCCCCAGACATGGTTTTCGAGGCAGGTCTGCGACTGCCTGCATTTGTTTCGTTGCCAGGGGAGTTGGAGGATAGCAGCCGAGGAGTTCAGCGAGCGCCTCGCATTGACAGCCCTGAACTTTTTTTCTTTTTGCTGAAACTCTGACAAACCCCTTTGGTCGGTATCTCTCTGTTGGAAGTCCAAAACTATTTTGAGACACCCATTCATCTAGGGGTTGATTGTTGTTCCATTATTCTTGGGGTAACTTCCATTCCCATTCTTTCCAGGAATCCGAATATTTCTAGAAAACCACAAAAAACTGGAGAAATGGCGATCGGTTTTTGCAAAAACCGGCCGTTTTCCCTGGGTTTCCGGAGGGTTTCTAGAAAGAAGGATCCCTGGAAAGAATGGGGAAGGTGCCCCTAGAGAAATGAATATGTTCTATTTTCCCCTGGTTTGAAAGGGAATCTAGAGCTTGTTTCATTTTTCCCCGAAGACTTGCATAATCAAATCAGGAGGTCCTTGTGCTTTTTAGCTGATTCTTTGCTTTGCCTTGCTTCGCCTTGCCAGCCCGAAG